AGAAGCCACATCCGCTGCTGCTCAACAGCGACCACCAGCAGCACTGCGGCCGACAGGGCGCCAACAGCCGACAGCTGGTGGCGGACTTTCGCGCACACGGCCCCTACCTGCGCTGCATTCCCACCATAGCCAGTCGCGCCCAGCCCCGAGGTGCCCTGAAGGGCGTCGCAAAGGACGTCGCTCTGGCGACGGCGGTGGAGCCCCCGGTGGAGCCGCTGTCCAGCATCGACCAGGAGCGCCTCTCGGTGCTCTTCTCCGTCTTCAGTCCGCAGTCCAAGAACGCCCCCAACTACTGCTTCAAGCCGACGACGCTGGACATTGCCTACTACGGCCGCAATGACATGTCCCTGGGGGCCTTTCTCTTTCGGCACTTTTTCTTCCTTCGGTCGCGCTTCAACCAGACGGTGAACAGCGGCTCCTCAGTGGCTGCTGACGATGGCACCTCATTCAGTAGCTCCAGTTCTCTTGGTGGTGGTGGCATCGGCAGCGGCTCAGCTCCTATCGGCTCATCGGTCTCCCGGCGAATCTTCTGCTCCAGCGAGACCTGCAATGCGTCCATGTTTCGCCACCTGGTCCGCTTCTCGCACCACCGCGGCACCATCACCGTGCTGCTAAGCAAAATCCAGGACACGCAGAAGTCAATGCCGATGCCGCACCGCGTTCTCACCTGGACCTTCTGTGTGCTGTGCCGTGCCAAGTCTTCCAACGCTGAAATGTCCGCCGATGCGCTAGCCCTCTCCTTTGGCAAGTTCCTCGAGCTCAAGTTCTACGGCGACCGACACTACTACTACGGGCGGTACTTTGATCGGGCCCTGCCGTGCAAGCACTCCCTCCACAAGGATGCCTACCACTTTTTCAGCTACGACCTGCTGGTGGTCAGCTTCAAGTACGACCCGATAGTCCTCTACGAGGTGGTGACGCCGGCTCCGATCATTGTGACGACGCGAAATCAGTTTTCAAAACTCGAGCTCATCAACTACCTGCAGGATCTCACCATTCGAGGACATGAGGTCTTTGCCAAAGTGGGCGAGGAGATTGAGCGCTTGCGAGAGGCCATTACCGTGAAGGTGAATGCTCAGGCAAATGGTGGAGGTGGTGGTGGTGGTGGTGGTGGTGGTGGCAGTACTGTGGCCCTTCCCACCACTCTCTCCGGGCTCAACTTTGAGTCGACGGACCTGGCTCACGTGGAAGAGTGGACTGTTCGCCTGCGCACCGAGGAGGCTGATTTTGTGGCGGCCATCAAGGAGTCGCACATTGCCATCTCCAGCTCGGAAACGGTCAACAGTCTGCCCGTGTTGGAGCTCTTTCGCATGCAGAACCGCGTCATTCGCACGAAGAAGGCCGTGGTGGAGGTGGTGGCAGCCTGGAACGACCGACTCAACGACTTTATTACCGCTCGGAAGCGCAATCCTGACAAGCTGATCACCTCGCTAATGAATCGCATTCTTCCCTCTGATAAGCAGCAGAAGGAGCAACCCGACACCATGTCCAATAAGAGCTTTGATCTGGACAAGCCTGATTCAGGCGATCAGCAGACGGTGCAGACGGGCACAGTCAGCGGACTGTCGCCATCATCGCTGAGCAACAGTCAGGAGAACCTTCTCGAGGTGAGCCCGACGGCTTCCCGGCTGACTAGCCTCACTTCCAAGGTAATCTCCAAGGTGTCCTCCAAGACCGCCAGTAATGCTGGTGCGAGTGAGGGCGGTGGGGAGAATGGGCCACCGGCCACATCCTTTGCGGCTCGCTTCCTCAGCGGTCGTCTGGCAGTTGACGAAGCCTTCTTCTCCATTGGCAATCCATTCGAGTCGACCTTTGCCCGAGAGTACGCCATGTTTGAGCACTTTCAGCTGCCGACGTTCAAAGACATATCAATCATCGTTCGAGACAAGGACCTTGGCTCCATCATCGCCTACGCCATGACCACGCCAGAGTACGAGCGAAAGTTGGCCGATCTACGACCACCGGCGACCAGTCAGCAACACTTTAAGCGGTTGTCCAGTGTCGATGGCATACTTGATAAGTCAACGGAAAACTATGTCGACGGGTCGGCGATGAGCGTTCCCTCAAAGGTATGATGGAATGAGCTTTTTCCCCCAGTAAAAACCGTAACATGTCTTTACTCCGCTTTCTTCCTAGACTGAACAAAGTGAAATTGCCTCGAGTGTGAAGAGCGGCACCGTGAGCGGCGCTGAACTGTCGCAGCACATTGACGTGCAGTACAATGACGCCTTTGCCAAGTTTTACTGCTGCGTCTACTTTGCCGAGCACTTTCGCCGTCTTCGCTCGGCGGTGCTCACTGACGGGGACGCCTCCAATCGGGAGACGGTCCGCCGGCTGCTGCCCAGTGGGGAGCAAGAGTCGTCCTTCGTCAGCTCTGCCGCCGAGGAGCTGTACATTCACTCAATTGCAAACTGCATTCCCTGGAACGCCATTGGCGGCAAGTCGGGCAGCACCTTCTCAAAGACGCAGAACCAACGGTTCATCCTCAAAGAGGTCAGCAAAGGAGAGCTCAATCACTTTATCACCTTTGCCCGAGACTACGTAGCGTACGTCGAGCGGGCGTTGCTGGAGAAGCGTCCTTCGGCCTTTGTAAAGATCATCGGCGTCTACCAGATCAGCTACAAGAACAGCTGCACGAACAAGGCCTCGGTGCACCACATTCTGGTGATGGAGAACCTCTTTTACGAGTGCAACATTTCCTTCATCTACGACCTGAAAGGGTCGATGCGCAATCGCAAGGTGGAGATCAACGTGGCCGCCGCGGCAGACGCTGAGATGTCCACCGGTGGAGAGGAGACCAGCGCCAACGGAAACTCTGCCTCTGTGGATCAGGCAACCGGATCAAGCAATAGCCGAGGTAATAATGTCCACGACGAGGCGAAGCTGTACCAGAACAATCACGCACAGACGAGCACTGTGCTGATGGACGAAAATCTGCGACTCATCTCGACTGTGTATCCACTGTACGTGCACCCCCACTCGAAGCGCCTCCTCATGGAGGCCATCTTTCGGGACTCAGAGTTTCTGCGCGCCCACGTCGTCATGGACTACTCGCTGCTGGTGGGCTTCGACGACCAGTACTCGGAGTACGCCGTCGGCATTATCGACTACGTGCGACTCTTCAACTGGGAGAAGGAGATTGAGTTTCGCGTAAAGAAGCTGGGCAAGACCATTGACCCGACCATTGTGCACCCGAGTCAGTACCAGCGTCGCTTTCTGGACGCCATCAACGAGTACTTTGTCGACGTTCCCGACAAGTGGGCGCCCTATATGCCGCTAGTGCCCCTAGCCGGAATGAGGATCGGCGGCGGTGTCGGTGGACACGACGGTGAAACTGCCTCTGGAGGCGACCATTTGAACGGTGCAATTTCCGCTGACAACCAACAAGGATCATCTACTGATGATGTGATCCTCTGATGCTGTGACTAACTTTTCATTTCNGCGACCATTTGAACGGTGCAATTTCCGCTGACAACCAACAAGGATCATCTACTGATGATGTGATCCTCTGATGCTGTGACTAACTTTTCATTTCCCCTTTTACCTCACCCTTTTCTTTTGACCAACTTTGTTGCTTACCCCCCCCCTTTTCTGTGCAATTATTTTGTCATTTTTATAAATTAGTTTGTGATAACNCCGACAAGTGGGCGCCCTATATGCCGCTAGTGCCCCTAGCCGGAATGAGGATCGGCGGCGGTGTCGGTGGACACGACGGTGAAACTGCCTCTGGAGGCGACCATTTGAACGGTGCAATTTCCGCTGACAACCAACAAGGATCATCTACTGATGATGTGATCCTCTGATGCTGTGACTAACTTTTCATTTCCCCTTTTACCTCACCCTTTTCTTTTGACCAACTTTGTTGCTTACCCCCCATTTTCTGTGCAATTATTTTGTCATTTTTATAAATTAGTTTGTGATAATACCAAAATGAATAGACAGGCAGGCAACAGACTAAACAGTGAACTGCCTTGGTCTTGCGCTCAGCGTCAACCGCAGTTGACCTTCTCAATGGGCGGAAGTAGCACTTGCTCAAAGTCAGCAGTGTCCTGCTTTCTTGACGCTTGATTTGCCCGCTTCATGACGTTGTCTCCTCAAAAAGTTATGCCGAAATGTTTCTTTTGTTAAATGTTATTAACAGCAGCTTTTATAAAATCACAGATTGGTAATTAAGAAAATTTCAGTAGTTTATAAATAGAACAATAGGAAATCGCAACAGCCTGAGCAATTAAAGCATAACAACAGTAAGGTGGTTGGAGAAGGACAGGTTGCTTACTTGATGAAAGCTTCAGGCGGAACTTTATTTTCTCCATGCAGTCGTTGAAAGACTGCAAAGGCAGCTTCGGGATTGTAGTTATTCGACTCCAGGCAGTTTACAGAAAATGCACGATTCATGTTGGTCATCAGCATAAACCTGAGTATGATTTCATCTTTTAAGTTGATATCAGGACAAGCGTCAAGCGACTTTGTGCTTCTAACGCTGGAAGAAGGGTTGTTCGATTCAGCCTGATCAATCCCTCTCTTGTTTTCTACTGATTGCTTTTCCTAAAAAACAAAATCGGTCAAAGGGTGGTAGAAAAAAACATCAAAACAGATCACATACCGATAGAGAAGATATGACAAACATATCATTGACAATGACGTACCCCTGGCCCTGTNTCAATCTTTCTCTTGTTTTCTACTGATTGCTTTTCCTAAAAAACAAAATTGGTCAAAGGGTGGTAGAAAAAACATCGAAACAGATCACATACCGATAGAGAAGATATGACAAACATATCATTGACAATGACGTACCCCTGGCCCTGTGATATTATGTTGAAGGTCCGACAGAAGGAACGCATCGATTGCTTCTCTTTGTGCGTCTCCTTGAAAATGCCATTAACGACAATGATAATTAAATTGTTATCATAGAATGGAACGTCAATATTAAAAGAAGACGGATCATGTTCGGTGGCGGGAAACTTGCATAGAAACGAAACAATCTCTACGCCAAATGTCTTGACACACTTAACCCAATTAGATTCATTTCGCATTCGTAAAAGATTGTGCGAATCAGCGAAACAAGCAAGCTGATTGCCTTTTCCTCTGCAACAAATTAGCACAACAAAATTAAATTCAAAAACAAAAACTTTAGAAATACTTACATTGCACTATCATGTTTCGAGTAGCTAAATGAAAAGATTGCCTTATCATGGTACGCTTGGACTAGTGCTTGTCGAGAGTCAGCTGAGTCGTAAAGTCTGTAGTAGGCTTCAAGGAATTCCAGCACAAAACTTTTACATTCTGGAGGAATCGAGGCGAATTTGTTTTGAGGCAAGTGAGTCTTAACACCGAGATCAAAACCAATTTCAGCAGGTAAATCTTCATAGTCCTACAGGGAAGGGAATAGTTTTTGCCTTTATTTCAAATTTTAAAGTGCAATAACTTACCAGTCTTTTCAAGTTTTTAAATTTCTTTTGTAAAGCTCTAAAGAAAAAAGATGGTAATGATCAATGCAAAAAAATATTTGACAAATGCAAACCTGGCATAACATGCTCGAGTGGGGAAGTTATCGACAAATGGATTACCCTCCAGCACAAGCTCGAAGAGATCAAGTTTACAGATGTGGTTGATTTGGTCAAACGAGGTGATCTGAAGAAAGAAAATGTTTAAAGATGTGTATACTTTTTGACATTTATACAAACATTATTTTTTGATAAATCAAGGGCTTTTAGAGATGAGCACTTATCCGCCAGTGATTGAAGAGGCTCAAGAATGCTCAACTTGTTATTGCTCAAGTTGAGCGCCACTATATCGGGAGAACTTTGAACGATGATATTGACAACGTTGCGAAATTCTTTTGCTTTGTTGATGGCAATGAAAATGCCTTGCTTAATGAATTGTTCTGCTTGTTGAAAATTACTCAAATTCATTACGCGCGTTTCCAGATTATACAATTTGCTCATGGTATGCTTGATCAAGTCAACTGGGTTGCTCTTAACTCCAACAGAATTAACAGCTTTGTGTGTTTTTCCATAATCATTTGCCTTTTCTTGGTAGCGTTTATTTAAAGTTTCTCGCAAATCCTGTACTTGAAAAGAAGCGCGACTGAACTCAGGATTCGGTTTACGAAAACTATTAAGAAGTATGAGAGACTTGAGCAAGATAAATGAAAAAATTAGAGTACGCACCTCGTTTCTTTGCGCTCTCCGGTAACGTGTCGGCCTGTAACGTTCTTTCCCTTGTTCTTGAAACGGTAGATATAACGGCCACTCATTGTACCTTCGACGAGAAGAATGAGTCTTGATGGTTCGACTTGAGAAACTGTGGCCAAACTTGCCAACGTGATGCAACAGCCAACTTTCACCTGTTTGAGAGGGCGGAGCCAAACAAGTTTTGATCACTTGTCATTTCGACAACATTTCAAGAAATCTTTTTGTTTATACTTTTGGCTGCAAAACAGCTGTGCGATAAAGTGCAGCGCCAAGACTTGCCCGCCAAGTGCCTCATGTACCTGAAGAGTTCAGCTGCGTTTATTTTGTTTTGAAAAAGGAGCACCTTTTACCTAAGATTACTTACCTTGACAGCAGCAGCACATCATGATTCCAAACACGGGGTGAGGAGTGTCGCTTCCATTGGTTCCATCGCTTATCATTCAATGACAATGCTTCTTTCAGAGCTCTTCTGGGAAAGACTGTATTCGTTTCAGGAGGGAGTCGCGGAATCGGCAAGGCTATTGCCCTCAAACTGGCCAAGGACAAGGCCAATGTGATCATCGCAGCAAAGACCGCAGAGAAGCATCCCAAATTGGAGGGCACCATCTTTACGGCTGCAGAAGAGATTGAGAAAGCGGGTGGAAAGTGTTTGCCGGTGCAGTGTGACCTGCGTGTCGAGGACTCGGTGAAGAATGCTTTTGAACAGGCGGTAAAGAAGTTTGGCGGAATCGACATTTTAATCAACAATGCGTCGGCTATCAGCATCACAAGTTTGCCCTTGAAAAGCTCGTATTGACTGTTTTTCAAGTCTTTGTATCTTTCTAGACGTGGAGAACACAGAAATGAAGCGTTTTGATCTGATGCATCAGGTGAACACACGAGGTAACAATTATAACATTAGCTGTCTCATCTTTAATCTCGCAAATTTAATGCAGGCACCTTTATGGCATCGAAGTACGCCCTGCCACATCTCAGTAAATCCTCCCACGCGCACATCCTCAACCTCAGCCCACCGCTGTTGATGGTGCCGAAGTGGTTCAATCAGCATGTTGCGTACACCATGGCTAAGGTAACTACAAAATATTGCGACTCAATCTCTCGCGGTTCAAAATCTCTCGGTAGTTTAATGAAGGTGGCAGCTTGCATGACAGGTAGAGTTTTGAACTGCGAGATTTTGGATTTGAAAGATGTCTGTCGGAAGAATTTGATCCCAATTTCAATTGCCACCAGTACGGCATGTCAATGTGCGTACTGGGCATGGCCGAGGAGTTCAAGGACCGCTCCATTGCGGTGAACGCACTCTGGCCACGAACGCTTATCCTCACAGCGGCGATGGCCTCCTTTGGTGGCGTCGAAGAGACGGCGAAGTTTTGCCGGAAGGTGGACATCATGGCTGACGCTGCGTACGCCATTCTCAGCAAAAACAACCCATCAGTGACGGGCAACTTTTTCATCGATGAGCTGGTGCTGCGAAAGGAGGGCGTCACCAACTTTGAGTCGTACAACTGCGTTCCTGGTGTGCAGCTGATGGCCGATGGCTTCATTCCTGATGAGCTCGCCGAAGGGCTCCTTCAAGGATCGCTGTAATAGTACATAGTTTAGCAGTGTTTACTGCAGTCAACACCAATAATCGCGTGCGAGATAGATTGAACTGAATTTAATTCGACTGAATGTGTCTGTGTGCATTACAAAGACCGACAGCTGTCAACGCCAGAGCTGATCATAGAGTCGGCGGAAAAAAGGAAAGCTTCAACAAACTCTACTGTACACCCTGCCCACCCTCAGGCAGTTGAGCACCGGGAGGCAGTTCTGCGCCACCACCACCACCGCCGCCGTTTGGATCCGCCTCGACGGGCACCGCCTGGTTTGCCTGCTCCTCGGCGGCCGCCGCCTCAGCCTCTGGCGACTCGTAGGCGGCCTCATTGGGTGGCACCTGGTCCATCACAGAGCCGCCTTCGTTGCCATTCGCCTGCTCCACTCCGGGGTCACCCGGCGCCGCCGCCTGCTCTTCGCCCGTGCCGCCTGGGGGCGCCTGACCCTGTGATCCTCCTCCTGCTCCTCCTTCTGCTCCCTCTGTTCCGGTGCCAGGTGGAGCGGCATTCGCTCCCTGGGACCCTCCAGTTCCTTGAGGACCTTGAGTGCCGCCCTGTCCTTTGGAGCCCTCAGCACCTGCTGAAGCATTGGCACCGCCACCCTGAGATTTGCCTGCAGCTTTGGAGCCAGCGCTGGGCGGCGCCGTTCCCTGTGAACCCTTGCCGCCCTGAGAAGTGGGCACCCCTTCTTTGGAGCCAGCGCCCGGTGCTCCCGAAGTGTGCCCTTTCGAGCCGGCCATTTGCTTTGACGCTTCTGCCACTTTAGAGCCACCTCCAGCGCCAGCTTCTTTGGAAGTACCGGTTGGCATTTTAGATCCGCCACCTCCAGCTCCTTTGGAAGCACTTGTCGGCACTTTAGAGCCCTCGGTCTTTGCCTGTGAAGGATGGCTCTTTGAAGCAGGAGCCTTAGAGGCGCTACCGGGCGCTGAGCCATGCGCCTTGGAGCCATCGGCGTTCTTCGATGTGCTGTGAGGTGGCGCACTAGCTGCCTTAGAGCCGGCAGATTCTTTAGCTGACAGGCCCGAGGCAGCATGAGACTTTGACGCAGACTTAGGCGCCGGCAACACGGAGGACTTTTTCTTTGAAGCGGCGGCAGACGTCGAAGCTGAAGCTGACGCCGACTTGGAGGCACTCGGACAGGTGGACGGGCCTAGTGAGCCGCTGGCAGATGAGGTGCCCTTGTTGCTGGGGCAGCTTGCCGGGCCGATTGAAGCTGAAGGACAGGAAGCAGGGCCTTTGCTGGAGGCAGACGCTGACGGACAGCTGGAGGTGCCCTGGCTGGCCGACGGACAGGTCGAGGGACCTTTGCTCGAGGCGGCGGCGGCAGCTGAAGGACAGCTGGAGCTGCCCTGACTGGCCGACGCACAGGTGGAGGGACCCTTCGAGCTGACTGCAGCCGAGGAGGACTTTTTAGACTTTTTGCTGTCTCCCGATTTGACCGACTTTGACTCTTCGGAAGTCTTCTTAGAGGACTTCTTGGAAGCAGTGGAATCGCTTTTTGAAGCTTTAGATGACTTTACCACGGTCGATGACTTTTTCGAAGCAGAGGAGTCGGTTTTTGAGGCTTTAGAAGACTTTACCTGGGTCGAGGACTTTTTGCTCGCCGATTTGTTGGACTTGTGAGTTGTTTCGCTGGTTTTTTGATGCGAAGAAGAGGAAGCGGTTTTCTCGGTAGTCGGAGCACTGACGATGGTGAAGGAGGCCTTGGTGGGCGTCGCCGAGGTCATGTGAGCGCTGCTGCTCTTGCCGGTAGCGCTCTTTGAGGACTTGCTCTTTGAGGACGGGGCGCTGGCTGATTTGCTCTTTTTCTTGGAGCTCGACGTTTTTGCCACACTGGCAGACTTGCTTTTCACTGAAGCACTAGTCGGTTTACTACTAGCAGTCGTCTTTGTGTTGTCAGTGTGGGCACTTGAGTGCTTACTCTTGGCCACACTGACGGACTTGCTCTTCACTACAGTGGAGCTCTTCACGGACACGGCCTTGGACTTGGAAGGAGCTGCGGCACTTTTCGAGGCACTCTTCAAGGCACTCTTCGAGACACTCTTGGCGACGGACAACTTCGGATGGGCACTGGCCACCTTTGCGGTCATCCGAGAGGACATCTGCGTCTTTGCCTTGGAGACGTGCAGCGACTCGTCGAAGAGCATGGTCGGCTTCAGCTTGGAATCCTTGCTGCTTTTCATGGCCAGCTCGGTCAGCGCGGCTGCGGGCGCCTTGAAGTAGGGACAGTGGAGGAAGGCGCTCGCCGTTGGACGGCGTCGCGGGTCGATGAAGAAGGCTTTGTTGACGGCGTTTCGCAGCAGCTTGTTCAGCTTGTGCGTCGCCACAAAGTGACGCCACTGCGCGGAAAACTTTGCCTCCGACTTGCAGTTGAAGGGGTAGCGACGCGTCTGCATGGCCACCATCACCACGCCCACCGACCAGATGTCCACGCGAGATGGGTCGTAAGTGTCGAGGAAGCACTCGGGAGGCAGGTGGAGGTTCTTTCGGGAGCGACGCTCTCGACGCTGCAGCAGCGCCTTTCCCTTGGAGGGCTCCCAGAAGGGCACCGCCTTGCTCCAGCCGGCAATCTTCAGGTGGTCTTGCTTGCTGAAGAGCAGGTGCTGCAACTTCAGAAAGCGGTGGGCGACGCCCAGGGCGGACATCGCCTTAAGGCCGTCTACCAGCTGGACGGTCCAGGCGCGGGCCACCTCGGGGCTGATGGGCTCATTGTCGAAGAGCTTCAGAAAGAGCGACTTGCCGGGCGCTTCCTCCAGGAACATGTAGATGGAGTGATCGAGCTAGAGAGATGGTGGTGGAAGTTAGTTGCGATTAGATAACCTAACTAACCCAGCCAAACTTACCTTAAAGATATCGTACACTCGAATGAAAGACTCGGACTTGACCTTGCCGTCATCGACGCCGCCCATGTACCGCTCAATCTTCAGACTGTACGCCTCCATGTTGGCCAGGTACCGCGGAGTGCACTTCTGCAGGCGAATCTCCTTCACCAGCAGTCGCATCTCCCCTTTGGTGCCACTGTAGAAGCAGTACACGTCATCTTCGACGATCTTACCGCCGATGGTGTACCCGGCGGCGTTCATCTCCGAAAGGCCGGCCACCGTCTTTGAGCCCTTGGCCGCCGTGAACGACTTCATCTCCGAAGTGTGACTGGGCATTGCCGGCACACAGGAGGAGCAGGAGGAGGCGCCCAGAGAGCGCGACTTGCTGCTGCTGTTTGAGGAGTTGGCAGCTGATACGGAGGCACTTTTTGCCACCGAAGCAGATTTAGAAGCAGCTGAGGTTTTAGCCAGCGAAGCGGATTTTGAACTCGAGCCTGCTTTGCTTCCTCCTCCTGGTGAAGCAGACGACGCAGAGCCACTTTTAGAAGCCGACTTGGCTGCAGACGCCGATTTTGAGGATTTTGCCACGGAAGAGGATTTGGCAATCGAAGTTTTGGCAGCTGANATTTTGAGGATTTTGCCACGGAAGAGGATTTGGCAATGGAAGTTTTGGCAGCTGAAACTGAAGCTGAAACCTTTGAGACGGAGGTTTTTCCAGCGGCTGAACCCGAGGCGGCAGTAGTGCTGGTTGATCCTGAGTATCCACTCGCCGAGTTGCCACTCACTGTCTTGCCAATTGTTGATCCTGAGGCGGGCGAGGCCGACGCGGAGGCGGAGGTTTTGCTTGCTTTGCTGGCACCTGAGACGGCTGAAACACCTGATGAGGAATCATCAGAGGCGAGCATGCTGCCATTTGTTTGAGAACCAGAGCCGCTAGTTCCACTTGCACCACTACCACTACCACTGCCAGACTGGGAACTTCCACTCGGTTTGGAGGATCCTGAAACATTCTTACTACTCATGACTACTTTTTGTGTAAAGCGGTAGAAAACGGTGAGTATGTGTAACTTAGTCTAATTGAACAAAGTGATTGAAGTCGTGTCTCTATTTTACAAAGTGCTTTAAAATCGAATTTT